TGGGAAAATTTAAAAAAGAGGGGGAGAAAAAAAAACCTTTTTTAAAAAAAAAAAAAAAAAAAAAAAAAAAAGCTTATTTATTTATTTTTTTCGAAAAACATGTTCATTTAAAACTTAAATAAAAAAAAATAAATAAAAACCTTTTGGGTCCCCCCCAAAAATTTTGTCAATTTGGACCTATGAGTTTTATATAAAATACATTTTTTTACAAACCCAGGGGGACCCCCAAAATTTGGGCCCTGGGTTACTGCCCCTGTGTTTATATTGGTATTGGTGGTATTGATACCAAAATATTAATACAACTCACCTAATTTGGGCCTATGAGTTTTATAGAAAGTTCAATTTTTTGCAAAAAAATGCATTCACTTAAAAAATAAATAAAAACATTTGGCGCAACCCCAAAAGTCGTCCTATGGGTTACTGTCACTGTGAGCCGTTTCTAATGTCCGGCTCAGTAAGTACCCGAAGATGAATAGGAGCCTTCATATTTCCAACTGTTTTCAGATGTTCTTTTTTTGGACTGTAAATATGGTGTATAATACACAAGCGTGTTGTCTGCGCATAAAGCAATGGCACTGAAGCCATCGTTGTGCATTCGCAAGTTGGTGGTGACTCGTTTTGATTTGCAGCACACAGCAGAAACAGTGTATACATATAAAAACTAAAACACCTTTCTCCCATCTTCCTGCACACACACAGACATGCCTGATGACAGTGACCTACATGGTCACTGCAGATGTGATATAATTTATGATATATATAATATATTGGATCCATTAACGAGCATAATGAAGTAGTGAAATGAAAGGGTATTTGTGAAATCAGTTCAAACATCCTGCTTTGGATTATGATTAAATGATTAATGAAATGTCCCTGCTTAAGCATTTTCAAACAGTAATTCATGCGGCAACAGATAAAATTCCTCCAATCATATTTCCTTCACTCATGAGCCTTATCTCCACCATTTTATATAAATCAAAAAAAAAGGACGTCTCCTACCCGAGCAAGCTACTTTAGATTAGTAATAAACGTGCATGAAAAGAGAACGTCTTTCCTGAATAAAATAATTGCACGTAATTATATCCATAATTCAAGCCTGGGACAGATCCCCATCTCCTCGTCCTGTTGTCCTCTACGTTTGGTCCGGCTCTATTTGAATTCCCCTTAATTCTGATAATAAAAATGAACAATGCAAACAGAAAAAAAGGGTGGCAAAGTCAACATGGCAAGGCAGAGTGGAGCAGAGGCAGGAAGGCAAGGCGTTAGGGTGCCGGTTCATAATTTAGCAAAGGGAATCCAACCTGAAATTCTTCAATCATCTCCTCTTATCAGTGAGCTGGGAGAGCAGGCATGACCAGCATGAAATATTGACTGTCATTCTTTCACATAAAAAAAGTATTCCTTTGTTCTGGAGACATTGTGTAATCACTGTAATATGTGACACTATTAACATAAATGTTATTACAGGGGCACCACACTCACTTACCTTATTGATCCAATAACCAGCAATGGGACTGAAGCCACATGAGAGAACATGGTAGAACTCTTATTTGTTCGAAAACAGGCAAATATTGACAGATGTTAACATAGCACATCTCCACTTAAACCCAGAATTATTTAGACAGCTGGCAGATTTATTTTTATTTTTAAATTGGGTACTGATTTATTTTATTTAAAGTGACATCCTTTTACATTATTTTTTTATCATCTCACAGGATAATAAAGCAATTTGTAAAGAGTGTCAATTTTGCCAAAAATATCTGAATATATTGCTGTCAGATATAGCATCTTTTTGCATGTTTCTGCCGGATTTCATATTATTTCTTTGATAGTGATGTCTTCAGATTTGGAAGGCCTCTTTGTCATCACCCTAATCTTTAGCTCATCTCAGAGATGGGTGGATTCTGACTGGGTCACTGCAAAGATGTAATATCAATTCTTGGTCAAATTAAAATTGGTCAATTTTAGCCTAAATCTGCTAATGGTGTAATCTTTATTTATACTAAAATGTAGATAAATCTAAAAATCTGGATCCTTAGTTTGGGTTTCTGTTTAATTTTGCTTATTAGTAAGAATATCATTTTAAGTTACTTTGCCAGTCTTTTAGGCTTCTTTTCTTTTCTTTTCTTTTCAGAAAGAAAGTGATGTTCATGTGGAAGAAGCTAATAAAGCAAATAGCAGAGCAACGCTGTTGTTTTACTGTTAGCGGCACAAACAAGCCATCTCCTTTATTTCATTGTTTGAGAACATAAGAAAGTAAACAGAAAATTTGATCCTGCAAAGGGTATAAATAGTTTTGGGTTTAACTTTACCAAGCTCTCTAGCATTAGAGAGGAATTATTTGGAAAATGATTGAATTTCGATGCTGGAATTATAATGTTCTGTTGTGCTACGATAAACAATCTTTAAAGAAATAAAAATGAATCTAATCTTTGTATGCATCTTCTCTTTCTGTGGTTTCCAGGCATCTCAACAACGAGCATGCCCTGGATGACAGGAGCACGGCCCAGTGTCGGGTGCAAATGCAGGTCGTCCAGCAACTCGAGCTCCAGGTATTGTCACGTCTCTTGTTTTTATCAAAATATTTACGCTCTGTCTCCTGCTGACACTTCCTCTGTGTCTGCCGAACGCCCCCACGAGCCGTGGGGTCACCAGCAGAGGAGGGAGGGGGGCAGAGGAGGCTGGCGTGTTCAGTAGAATTAAATACTTTTGTGCATTTGCTAGTAACCAGTCATTAAAAATGTGTTTTGTATGCATGACGGCCAGGAAAAAGATATGTGAATAGCCTGGGGCTAAGTAGAGAAGATAACTGCATTTTAAATTTTATAGGATTTTAAAGTTAATTATGACTTTAACTGTTTGGCACCAACAATATAACACTTGTGAAATGACTTAACTGCATAGTGTGGACAAATACTCATTGGCTAATGAGTTAGAGGAACAGGAAAAGTTATTGTTTCTCTTAGTGTTATTTTTTTTATCTAATATAATGCTAATTTTCCATAAAAATCAATGCAAATATACATACAAAGATAACTGTTTCTCTAATGTGGTCTTTCACTTCTAAAACAGAGAACTGATACAACTGGTGTTATAATCTGCACACATGCATTCAGGTATATTTGAATCAGAAATTAAGTAAGCTTGGCAGATAAAAGAAACTCAATTGAATAAGTGAAATTCTAGCGTGTTAATGTTAACAGCATCTTACCATAAAACAAAAATAAAAATGAAAGTATGCACTATTGGTGAAATAAAAATATTTTTAAGTATCATAAAGATGGAATGGGAACAACTAATATGTTAACAAGAACCAAAAAAGTTAAAACGTTTATCTAACTAGTGAGCAGCTTGCCAGCATGCTAGCAAATGAGACTTTAGCGAAACAAAAACTTTCTCAACTCCACATATTGTAACGGTTCTCATGTTTTACTAAGCTGACACATTTAGACATAATAAAATCCATATTAATATGTCAACTTTATCATTTTCAGCTAAATATATTTAAAATGGTCAAATGGAATTGTTACTAAAATAAAGTATCGAATGCTGTCAGATTACATTACTTTTTACAAGATCATATTTGACTCACTAAATGACAATTTCAATCATTTTAATGACTATCCAAAAAAACTTTTGCAGTCATTCACTAAAAATCTTACTAATCCATGATGAACGTTTTAGCATGTGTGGCAGCCTAAAAGCAAATGATGTGTTCTAGACGTTTGGGGCTTTTTTCAATTGCGGTTCAAACTTCAGTGACATAATTGCCCCCAAAATGCCTGACAATTGGTAGGAAACAGTTCTGGTTTAGAGGGAGTTAACCTAAAACAATGATATATCAGTTGCTCCTACTTTTCACCATCCCAACATGTTTTTTCTCGTCTGCTGGTTGATCATCCAAAAGTGATCGGTGAGGCTTTACCAGACACAGGCCTCCTCCACATGCAGCCCGTCACCATAATTTGAGCTGGCAGCTAAAACTGGTTTGACTTTCAGACAGGGAGAAGAGACCTGGGTTTTTAGTAGGAATCGGAAATAAAACTCCATATTTTGTAATGGAGTCTTACTCACAGCTCCAATAAGCATTTTAAATAAAAGACGATGCAGTTTAAAAATGATATCTAGAGATTTGTGTGTGTGTTTGTTCATAAAATTGTTGTGCTTTTGTCTTTTCTTCTAATAGCTAGCGAAGGACAAAGAGCGTCTGCAAGCCATGATGACGCATCTTCATGTCAAGTCCACAGAGCCCAAAGCCACCCTGCAGCCGGTGAGCAGCAACCCTGTCATATATCCTCCTGCCACTCCCCATTCCTTTTGTTTGTCTTAATTGGCACACATGTATTCATTAATCCCTTCCTCCATCTTCTGATTTATCTGCTAAATAAAAACAGCTGTTTGTTGGGAAGCAGTAAATGTAGTTTGGAGCACATCTGCTGACATCTGAGATTCAATTTGGTGTCTCTGTGATGAACTGGATGTGCAGTACAACACCTCCCAACCCCCACCCCCATCCCAACACCCACCCCCAGAGAAATATTGCCTCTCTGAGAATACAGGGGAAAAAAGTGAGAAACGGCACACACAAAAAATTTTGTAATGAAGAGATGTTATGTTTAAAAAAATATATATGTTTTCAAAATCTTAGCAAGTATTTTTGGTCTAGTTTCTAGTTTCTCAGTACACTTGAAATAAGACTAATCAAACTTACAAGTAACTTTTTAGCAAAATATAGGAGCTTGTTTTAAGTCAATAGTTCCTTAATAAAGAGTACTAGTTTCACTTGCAGATTATCTCACTGGTAAAATGGGAAAAAATGTTTTGTTATAAGTGAAAAAAATATGCCAGTGGAATAGTACTTTTTAAATTAATATTAACAAATTTGTAATTTAAAACAAACGTCTATATTTTTGCTGAAAAGTTTCTTGTTAGTTTTGTTGTTGTTTTTTCCGGTGTACTAAGATAGAACTAGACCAACAATACCTAATAAGTATTTTTACTAAGATTTAGTAAGATATAGTGTTTTTGGTAACACTTTATTTGAAGGGGGTTGAATAAGACTGTCATGACACTGTCATAAACATGACATAACATGAATTAGTGTCATTCGGTAAATTATGACACTTTTAATACAAAGTTGACATTAGTCAAAATGTCTTTGTTATGACAACTTGACATTAACTAAGAAAGCATTACTGTTTAAACTTTACCTTTAAGCCCGGCTTTGAGGGCCAGAGTTGCGAGAAGCTGGTTAGCGTCAACTTCGTGGA